CACACACCTTTCCTGACTTTAAACCACATAGTATCCCCTTGTTCTGTTTGAACAACTGCCTCTTCATCTATACACAGGTTCCTGATGAGCACAATCAAGTGTTCTGGAATTACCATTCTTCACAATGTTATCCATAATTTGTTATGGATACATCAGTCGAATGCCTCTACATAGTCAATAAAACACAGGTAAACATCTTTCTGGTATTCTCTGCTTTCAGCCAGGATCCATCTGACATCAGCAATGGTATTCCTCGTTCCATGTCCTCTTCTGAATCTGGCTTGAATTTCTGGAAGTTCCCTGTTGATGTACTGCTGCAAACACTTTTGGGTGATCTTCAGCAACATATTAATGATACTGTTCAATAATTTTCCACATTCTGTTGGATCACCTCTCTTTGAAATGGTCGTAAATCTGGATCTCTTCCAGTCAGCTGGTCAAGTAGGTGTCTTCCAAATTTCTTGGCATAGACAAGTGAGTGCTTCCAGCACTTCATACGTTTGTGGAAACATTTCAATTGGTATTCCATCAGTTCCTGGAGCCTTTATTTATTTATTTATTTATTTTTGCCAGTGCCTTCAGTGCAGCTTGGACTTCTACAATACCATCGGTTCTAGATTAAATGCTATCTGTTGAAATGGATGAATGTCGACCAGTTCTTCTTGGTACAGTGACTCTGTGTATTCCTTCCAGCTTCTTTTGATGCTTCCTGAGTTGCTCATATTTTGCCTATAGAATCCTCCAATATTGCAAATCAAGGCTTGAATTTTTTCTTCAGTTCTTTCAGTTTGAGAAATGCCAACCGTGTCCTTCCTTTTTGGCTTTCTAACTCCAGGTCTTTGCACATGTCATTATAATACTTTCTTTTGTTTTCTCTAGCTGTCCTTTGAAATCTTCTGTTCAGCTCTTTTACTTCATCAGTTTTTCCTTTCAATTCGCCTACTCTATGTTCAAGAGCAGGTTTCAGAGTCTCTTCTGACATCCATTTTGTTCTTTTCTTTCTTTTCTGTCCTTTTAACGACCTTTTACTTTCTTCATGTATGATGCCCTTGATGTCACTCCACAACTTGCCTGGTCTTCAGTCATTAGTGTTCAATGTGTCAGATCTATTCTTGAGATGGTCTCTAAATTCAGGTGGGATGTACTCAAGATCATACTTTGGACTTGTTTTAATTTTTTTCAGCTTCGACTTGAACTTGCCTATGAGCAATTCATGGTCTGTTCTGCAGTAGGCCCCTGGCCTCGTTCTGACTGATGATATTGAGCTTCTCTATTGTCTCTTT